AACCTTCCTTAAGAATCACTCTATCTATTAAAAAAAACCGCATCAAAATCCGTTGCGTAGTTTTAAAGATCTAAGCATACATACGGACATACAGCGAAAGCGACTTTGTTTTATACTATGTATTGATATCAAACCTGAAGCTACATAGGTATTATTGTCAACGATCTCTTTGAAAATCGCGGCCAGAACATCTGTACCTGTCACATTTTCTCACTAACCGATCTTTACACTACTTTCCTATGAGAAAATTTACTTCCTGCTATTCCTCTTATTCCTACCTACTAAACGATGTCTCATAACGTCTCCCTTTGTTACAGAACGACCGAGGTATCGTATCCTTCTATTTGTTCAAATTCGTACTCGTGGGACTCTGTGTTATACCTGCCTTCATGCTCGGTAACTGGCAGAAGTTCAGCAGCTATCTAGATCCCACTTTTAACTACATGATGGATCCAGACTATCCCGTAAGTTCCTACCTAATCATTCAAGTTATTATTCAGTAGGTTCTTCAAGTGCCTAGTGCTAGAAGGATTATGAAAGAACAAAGTAATTTGAGATGTAATTATAAAAAAAAAATGATTGAAATGTGGTGATTTGGTTATGGCACTGACACAAAAAGGACATGAGAAGCTACCAGCATCTGAACTACTTGCATTGTCTATGTTGTCCTTTCTACACTTCGCCCTCTCCTATTTAGTCAATAAAAATAAATAATGTAGTTGGAGCGTAGCAGCTATGGATACTATTGTTATTATTATTTTTTTAAACTCCTTGAAAATGTTATTCTTTTTTTTGCAGCTCGTCAAGCTATGGTTCTTCTGCGCAATCACGATATACTTCTTATACTTATTAATATTGATCATCAAAGCATATAGCGATTTGAGAAACATGCCATTTTTCGGTAAGTGTTGTCCAATAAATTTTTGTAGTCAGCTTTACCTACATAAGTCCTATTTGGACTCGACTGAACGTCAGTATTTTACATGGGGTTCAGCGGTTGCAATTCGTCACATTCTAAATTAAACTGTTTTCGGACATTTCACGCCTTTACCTAATCATTATTATGGTCTTAAAAAGAAAACAAAAGGTACCTATTGTGTATTATGGCGTAGTACTCGTGCACCTGCGCTGGCGCCGCTTGCTAGACGTATGACTGTATGAAGTCAGTTATCAGTTTAAGGTTGTTTTGATTCGTAAGTCCGATAAAGCAGAAAGTTAAACGAACAGCACTATAATAAATGTTTAATACTTATTTTTTATTTGCGTACTTCATTAATTAACTTTAGTTATAATCGTAAATTAATCGGTCAATTCGAAGCCGTGGATTGAGGAAAATTTTAAAAATATTGTCTAACTTGTTTCTTCGTTTCCTCAAATGCTGTCTTTGTGAACAGTGACTTGTTCTATGACAAAACAATTGTCGACTAACTATACATTATTTCTTTTGATAAATCAATACCTAATACGGTCTGCCAACGTCCCCACATAATAAAGCAAGTTCCTTGTTCCTTTGACTTGACGATTGATTATAATTTATTCCAGATATCCGACTTAGGTGCTTATCCATAGTAGTGGGTACGGTGACGTCCATTATAACGGTGCTGGCTCTACAAGGATGGGGCCCAGCCGCCCTGCAGGACCACTGGGCTTGTCAGCCAAAAATACACTTCGACACATCTGCACCATTCATGGCCCTCTACGGATTATTTAACTTTTATATTTACATACTGGCCTATTTGTTCTCGCCTGGTGGTGGTTCTATCCATGGTAAGTTTGTCTTTACAGACTTTATTTTAATTGCAAAAAGTAGGTAGACTTTTTTCCTCATGCGGAGGGGTGAAAATACGACATTTCTCGGGGTTTTTTGTCGATGAGATTTTACGTACAAAACATATGTAGGTACCTACGTTGGTGAAATATTGGAAACCAATACCCATACACACTACAGGTAGGTAGGTAGGTATAGAGAAAATTGACTGACTTTGATTCAAAATACAATCCTAGAACACCTTACTAAGAACTAGTGTTAAAAAAAGAACATTTTACAACAGCATTCCACCATTATGTTTCAGAAACGGCCATAACCAAAGACAACCCCGCTTTCTCTATGATCAACGATTCAGACGAAGAGGTTATCTATGGATCGGACGAGGAGAGCAGACGTCCACTCAACTCTCACCATAGGATTACTACTGACGAAGATCTATGAATATTAAATAATTAACTTAAAATAATATTTTCCGTACCTAAATGTAATTTTTTCTTGTTATAAAATTCTAAAACTAATTAGATGCAAGTTGTTTCATTTTAAACTATGAAATAACGTCTCAATTTCCTCCGTTATGCTTATGTCGTTTTACATATATTTTAATTAATAAATAGTTCCTGTTAGCACCACCTACTAAGGTTAACGACTAATAACGTACAACTTACATTGTACCTACTTACGTAGGTAAGTCAGTAGATACCAACATACTAATGGATGTAAATGGTCATTTACAAATTGACCTCACTGAAAAGGGCATCCATTAGCGGGATGATAAACCTATAAGTAGTTTACTAGCTACCGTATAGCATGTAGCTCTAGTAGATGTTGTAAACAACGATCACTGATTGATACAATAAATAATACAATACGCATACTATAAGTAACGTGGTCTATTTATTGGATTCCTCTGGGAACGAGTTTTGTTCAGTAAAAGGCCAAACAGAATCATAAGTAATTCTTACTTATTCCTCTTATCCGTTCATCAAAATTCTATACACATTCCTATCTATCGACTATGTGTTATCTACAAAAATATTAAGATAGGTAACTATCTCCATTCAAAAATAATGTGTGGTACCTATATTCTAAGTCATTTAGTATAATTCATACCTCAGCATAGTCGGTTGTGAAGTGACGTATCCAAAGATACGTGATGTAGGTTTTTGATAAACGGGAAAATAAAACTGCCCCTATAAGTGGTTAAAATGAGAATTCTAGGACAACAATAAATTGTTATTTATTCATTCACTCTACGTCAATTCACGTTGTATATTAGTCATGGAGGCAGGCTTCGCGAACTGCAGCGCACGGAGTCAACGACCCGAGTTCCTGGTTGTAGCGTATCCAGCGTAGTGTTACTGAGAATTAAGTTACTTACTAAGTAATCTCGGCAACTTGCAATATAATAGCTGTTGCTACGCTAGGAAAAAGTATTTACGTAAAGGGTTTAAATAGCGTGGTTTGTTTCCAAATCACTGTTTGTAATAGTAGTCCATAAAAGGAAAAGAAAACTTGTTGGTCTACTATCAGTGGTATTATGGATCGAAGTAGCGAAATTTGGCTAGGTACATTTAGTAGAGCTTACTGCTGGGTCTTCGATTCTCAATAAACATACCTTTCAAGTATTCTATTATAGAATTATAGGTCATTTTTAACTGATCTTTCAGGGAATGAAACGTAGGTATAATAATAATAAAAATGAATTACCATACTAAGCCACAAAATTTAGAAATATATTGTATAAATAAAAGTCGGTGTCGGCTATACGTTTAGTTGACTTCCGAACTTCCGATATGCACGTTATTCAGTTTGATAATTTAATCGTGAGGAGACAGTTGCGGTGGGTTTGTGGTTGCGCAAACCAGTGCAGCTAACGAGATGTCATGGTCAAATGAAGTATTACTAGGTTTTTCTGAGAGGAAAACAACAACTCAAAACTGATTGTACATTCCCGGTTATTATAGAATTCTCAGTTTACTGTCATTAACCTTAAAACAGACTCCAAAAATGTAGCTTTGCCACAATCGAGTCATGGAGTCACAACCCTTGCAAATTTGGTAAAGTAGGACTAGATCTAGCGTTAATGGTCCAGTATTTTCAAACGTAATGAACAGACGAAGAGATTGAACAGTATTCTGTAGAATACTGTTTATAGACCTGTCTGTAGTTTGTGTACCATCACATTACGGCACAGGAAGTCTGACGTAAAGAACAAAGGTAGTCTGGTAGTTATCGTTAAACGATAAGTCCAGCGAAGCCCTAACTACTTTTTCTAAGTAGGTGACTAGGTAGGTACTATGGTCATTTACGCAACTTCTGGAACAAAGTATACTTACCTAGCATATTCCTCCATTTAACCGAAGACCGAAAACATTACGTAACTTTAAGAATGTCCAAAACTAATTCACAAAGACGAATCGGGTTTCTTCGAGACGTTCATTTTGTTGGGGTTTCAAACAGTTTACATTATTTTTTGGTTAGTCTTATTATAAATCCTGGCTTCTGGTTATGTTTAGTGGTTGGAAATGCTATCAGTACCATACCGGTAACCCCATGTCTACCGGTTTTATCCATCTATCGATCCATCCACCTTTAAGCAACGTACTTAAACGCTTTGCAACCATTACTAAGAGGTTCCATTTATGTATACGCATAATTTTAAGCTTTTTAAAGAATCTTTTTATACCTAGCTTACATAATCACAACGGAGTGCGAGTTAATTTTACGTTAATGCGATCGATATGTTCGGCGCTCTGATTGGCTACTCCAAGTTAACCACCTAATCAGAGAGTTAAACGCGGTAACGTCTCGAACGTAAAAATAACTTAATACTTAGCCCCATCTGTGGTTTGACGGCTCTTAGGGGCGGAACGCTCGGGTCTGGTCCTGGCCGAGTGGCAAGCTAAACTTGCCGTCCGAAGACCCGTGCTTACGGTGGCCACTTGGCTAGAGATCGTCGCGGTATTCTTGACGCCCGGAGTCTCTCCGGTGGACTTTCCTCACGCGACTCGCCTCCTCCTGGAGATAACGTGAATACTTCGCAGGAAACGACGGCATCCCAATTACCCTAGCGCCGCAACATGATGACAATTCGGATCAATTCAGTTTTGGTTTGTACCGATATTCGACGAAATACCTAGCTTCCGCTAGAGGATAGTAAAATACTTTGTCATGATCACTTCACAATGACCTTCTAGTCACAAAGACTCATAAATTGTATCGAAAAGGAACTGATTTTCTCATTTCAAAGAATCGAGAAATTACTTGTTACAGTGAGGAAGCACAAAACATGCATGTTATTCAAAATCTAAACTAAGAAATATTTGTAATAGTCAAGTCTGATGGAAGGAGTCGTCAATGAACAAAAAGAGGATGCTACACGCACGGCATGATGTCGTCATCGTTAAATTACAAAAGTCCGAATGATATAAAGATATCACCACACCAGTTTACAACATATATTTTTGAATTCGTTAATCTTTTAACCATTTTCGAGTTTGACTTTGAGAAATAATATAAAGATTTACGTACCAATATGTAGAAAAAAAAATACAATATTTCAGTTCATTTGACTTAGTACGCGACTAAATCAAATTATATAATTATGTATTTACAGTAACAAACAGTATTTAAATCGACAGTCAAAATCAAATACAATGGAAATGGGTATAATATGTACATTGACACAACATGCATGCATTATCTAGCATAATTTTTCTTCATTTTACGAAACTAACTATCTGGATCAATGCTTACTATACAAACATACATTTTGATAGCATTGCACCAGCAAATTCAGTCATGAGTATTAGTTAATAAAAACGAGAGACTTTACAATTGGTTGAATCAAGTGCTAAATTTATTACATATGGAATTATATGAACGCCATTATTGGTATCTACAAGACTGTATTTGTAATGTAACTCCAAAATGGTTTAAAAATTTCAAATTCTTGACTAAATGCTACAAAGTTTTATAGAAGTTACGAGATCCATGATCCTAAAACTTTAACATTACTATTATTTATTTACATGAAAAACAGCGCCAAGTTCAAGTGATTTTAAAATGAATATAAACATGCTGCAAATGTTAGTCGATAAATTCGCATTAGCCAAAAAGGGTGATAAACAAAAGAATTTATTCTTTTTTCTGAATAACAATAACAAACTAAGAAAAAAATTCGGACCTAGTCATGATTTTCATTAGCTTGAACACAATGGGTCGGATACCAACGCGTTTTAGTCTCCGCCTTCAATTTCGTCACATTTCCAACCTGCTCAAAAATGAGTGAGCTCTGGGGTACTACTAGCTCTCTTATGGCGCATTCACATCCGACAAATGTACCGCTCGCGAGGACTTTGTATACTACGCGCTATAGCGTGTTTAGTATATACACACCACCCGCGCGAAGTTCGTGATATCTCGATCTATGCATTCGCCAGATGTGAACGCTTCATTAGATGTTCAATGTAAATAACTATTAAATATTCTTTAAATTGATATGTATTCCAAAACACCACTCATTTTTGTGCACATTCAGTACATTTATTCGTAACATTCGGTCCTTTCTAAATAAACGTAACATGAATAGGAAGATTCAGCTAAATTTATAAAGCTAGACTCATAAGAGGAAATAGTCAACAATGATATTATTCACATTTACGTGTACGGGCGAACAGCCATCTAAAGATAATTATGATCCTTGTTTTACAAAATGTACTTACTTATATTGTTACATAACCAAAATACCAAATTCTAAGAGATGCGCAAACGCATGAGGACCGCAATCGTGTTATAAAATATTGAAAACATTTATACTCACAATATTTTCCTAAATATTCCATGATTTTACACTATACACTTGATATATTTTTGTTTACGTATTTTTATCAAGTCGTCATTTGTTTTGTTAGTCGTCCGCCATTTTGTCAGCATGACAGCATAGACTCCACAAAATGGCGGCGATTAAAGTGACAATAGTGACAAGAAATAAAATTTCTTTGATATTGATATTAGTTTAATCATGAAGAATAATAAATAATAATTAGCAAATTTTCTAAAGATAAAACTAATATATTACATGGAAATTCAATCTATGGAGATAGTCTGTAAATTGTTCAGAGCGTGTGTATGCGCAATGAGAATAACGGGGTGTGGTTGCAGTACGGCGGCGGGTAGAGGGCGCTGGCGAGCTCCACATGGCTCGGCGGGCAGTGCCTGCGGAGTCGCTGCGGTACGCCGTAGCACAGCCCCACCGCGCATCACACAAGTCACCCCTGCACGTGGATCACAGTTCTCATTCACACTAGTAGTCTCATCGTCTGAACACAAGTCAATCACTTCACAAACATTGTCCAATCGCTTCAATGGATCCATCATCACTTCTGAATCAGTTGGCTGATCACAATCAAGTCCATCCACAAATACAATGTCCTTATCTTCCATTGTCTGTTGCTTACTCTCTCTTTCTTTTCTCAAGTTGTCGAGATATTCCTGTATGCATTCTTCTGACATTTTAATTAATTTTACTGACATTGGTTTGCACTTCAAGAGGAGCAGTTGGCCTTTAATATCGAGTATTCCTTTATTTCTTTGATTGGGAAAAACATATTTTCTATTCCAATAGCTTAACGGTCTTCGGTATCTCACAGGAAACTGTTGATTTTTTATCTTAACATTATAATTTTTACTAAATGGAGTTGTGGTACAACAAAATCTTTCTACCCTTTCTCTTGAAAAGGTCAAATCTCTCCCATCCCTCTGGCAACTTGTTTTAGCATTCCGTCTGTAAGCCAGTGATGAAAATGGATACAGTGGACCCCGGTCTACACTTGCACTATTTCTAAGTTGCTTGGCAGTATTTCTTATGTTTCTTGTAGCAAACCTTCCTGGGGCATTTCCAGTATCAGAACGAGAACTGGAACCAGGATTCACAGAATTCTCAAACGGTTGACCTGCTGGATGAAGTTTCAGGGCTGAAAGAAACTCAGGAAAACCTCCATCTGCTGCGTTGCATAGCCTTTCATGAGCTTGTAATAAGTCTAGACTATCAAAGTGGCCATCGCAGTTGTCACATAAGTATACATCTGCAGGTCTCTCTGTTATATCATCTTCAATGGAAATGGGTGCATAAGTTCTGTCATAATGTAGATTTTCATTTCTGAATGTAACCAGAAGTCTGCCATTAGGTCTATAGTACAGAGAAGTGGTGTGGTCTTTGTTGTCAACATACCTGAGCCTGTTGCGCGGGTACCGCGAGAGTTGCGCAGAAAAAACTAAAAGGAAGGCGCTCTTGTGGTAGTCGTAGCATTTTTTTACTAAATTCCTCAATTTCAGAGACCAGTCCCTAGGCACCTCGTAGGGTCTCACAAAGGGGTGCGAAAATGCAACTTCTTTCGGCCACCATGGTGGTCGCCGAATGTCTTTCGCTGTATCATGTCCCCAGGAACATGTCACCATAAATGTTATGAACTTCTCCAGCTCAGCGACCGTGATCGCCGCCAGGGATGTCGGATTGCCATTAGCAAAAAGAAGCGGCAAATTGGCGATCATGATTCCTGCTGACGCTTATGGTCATCGAAACCTGAGGGAGGCCAGCGCTTGCGATGTCAGACCGCGCAGGTACACACTAACGGTTATTGCGTTTAAGTCCATTTTAGCGCGATAATCAGGAACAGTTATCACTCATATGGATTGTCACAATTCTAGATATACTTTTCAAACTATTACAAAACACCACTTCACCACTAAATTCACAAATTTTTGAGAGCGAGAGCGCTACTAACTAAAAAGAGAAAGATCCATAGATCCGCCAGTCCGCCACAGACTTCATAGATCTTTGTTACGCCAATTTTGCTGCGCACTGTACGCAAGCGAGATGCAATGCAACAATACAACGCAAAGCGAAACGAAGCGATATCGAGAACAAAATAAAAAAAAACAACTATCCGTTACTTTTATATCACTTTGTATTTGTTGTGTAATTAATGTTCTCTTTAATATTATTTATATTAATTAAATACGTCCACCATTTTGTAATTTTTTCGATATTCGATTCGATTCGAAAAATCGGAATCACATTGATATAATAATTTTTTTTATACTAAGCTTCTGCATTATTTTACAGTGCAAATATGCACTATGTATGCATTATGCATATTGCGAGTAATACTTACTCTGAGTTGATATACAACATAGAAACATAATAACGTATGATACCATGTCAGGTTTATTTTATAACGTAATCTAACAGATAAGTTTGTATGATTTTTGTTTAAAAAACCTTCACATTTATTTATGTAAATGAATTTTTGTTCGATAGTCTCGCCAAAACTCAGATGGCTAAACTGATTTGGCTAATTTTGGTATTGAAATGTTCGTGGAAATACGGGGAAGGTTTGAAAAATTGTTAAAAGCATTTTTGGACGTTACAAAGTTTGTCGTGACTAAACTTATAGCTAGTAATAAATCAAAATAAGCAATTAGAAATCAAATTAGTATATAATTTATTAGTAAGTTACACATAAATACTTATAAGTAAATTATCTCTAGTGTCATTAAATTCTACTGAACGCTGCAACAAGACTGCTAATTAAGTTTTCTTTTTTAGTGGAATTACCACAATATTTATTCGTTGAAAATTAGAATTTGTGCTATTTTATCGATAATCGAGTTATTTTTTATGACCTTTCAAACGTCTTGTCACAGTGACAGTTATAACGTTGGCTATCTATTTTTATTCTGTGTGCAGTGTGACAGTGTGACTGTGATGTCAGTCAGTCAGCAGCCAGTTGTCATTGTTGTGTTGTCAATTTTGTGTAATCTCTGTTGTTATCACATTGATAAACTCGCATAGTAGAATAAAACATACAACCTTATGTTATTTATCAGAAACTGATAATAATATTAATTTGTTTATAACAAATGAAAATGTTTTCCTAAAATTAGAATTTTGTGAACGAACATGGTCAGTTTTGTTAATATTTTCCTCGTGATTGTAGCCAAATATTTTTCAGTTATATTCATATAGCACTATTTCACAGGAACACAACAGCGCTGATAGTTCTCCTACCTCTCCATCAAAAAAGTTTCCTGAGATCACAGACTACCAGTAAGTAAATTATTGCTTCCTTGACCTGACACCAAAAATTTGTTTTTTTTTCTTTGTTCAAGGCTTCAGCTCAGTATATACTTATGATGTGACTGCTTAAAAGTTTTCTATCTATGTTATTTACTATCGGCCTATTGAACGTTCAATAACTAAAATGACTTCTCAATTTATCATTACCAAACACCAAAAAGTTAACCATCAAACTGAGGTGAAATTATTCAGTATTTTCTTACTAAGAACATTCAACAACGACAAAGTTCAAGCTATAAATTATATGTCAAGATTTTAGTACAGAAACTATGCAGCAAGCACTTTTTTTTTAAGGGGGGAAAATCATCGAATGACTGCTCCCGCCTGGGTGAGGCGGGAGGGAGTGTCAGACTCTTACTGACTAAAAACCACCCCGTTCCTTCTCCTGCACGTCGAGTCGGAGCCCCGGTTACCCGTTAGGTTCTCCGCGACCACTTGCACCTATACAAGTTATATTTCTGAGAATGGACCTCAAAAGTTCATGAACCTCTCGTGTTAAAAGAAATAGACTAAAATGTCCTTTGTTTGATAACTATCACCACTTCCTGAAAATAATTTAAAAAATGAAATTACTTCAGTTTAACCAGCCGCTTTGTTGTTACCAATAGGAGAATGATAACTAATTTATTTTTACTGTTTAACAGGTTGGATCTCCCAGCATGGAGTGTGAACAGTCTGAAGGCTATAGCTATCCAGCAGCGCCTGCCTCGTCCCCGGAGCCTTGCATGGGCCATCTTACTGAATGCCCTGCCTCCCCCAAACATGGATATTGTATCCAGGTAACAAGGTCTATTTATATTTATTATCCCAATTACCCCCCCCCACCCTCCCCCGTCTTACAATCCCCGAAGCCTCCACAATACTCAATTCCCAAAAGGTCGGTAACGGACTTGTAACACCTTGGTGTTTCAGATGTCCATAGGCAGTGCCGATTGCTTACCATCAGGTGATTCGTCAGCTGGTTTTCCGGCTTATGCCATATCTTAAAACCCTTTCACCAAGTTAATTTACTTGCTTACTTATGTGAATGCATAGTTGATGTGCAGTTACCGCCACAACATATTTACAATACAAATATTCATGGTTTGTCCGATAAAATAAAGTTTTGGAATCTAGGCTAGAAGTCTTTGCAATTTGTAATAATTGAAATCAGTTGCTTAGTTGTTTTCTTTATTTCAATATTCCAAAGTATAAGGTTGAAAAAAAAACTATCTATTTTCCAGTAGCTGTAATCTAAATCGAATCTTTAAAATCCAGCCATAATGTTCTTTCATAACAAGCATTGTTTATTCTGATCTGCCGTGTCCTGAGTCATACTCGTCAGCTTGCAATGACTCATTGTTATTTGGTTGCATCCAAACATTACCTTAACCTAAATATTGAAACACAAAACGACGCGACAAGACCCGCGACGCGGCGATTGTCGCGCTGCTACTCGCAGCGACTGTCGCGCGGCGACAGTCGTCGGCTGCTCACGAATATGAGCCTCTAGCATGGCTTGAAACTAGTCGAGTTCCTCGTTGAATTACTACGTGAGTAAGCCGAAAACATAATAATTTATTTAGTATGTCTCACGAAAGTTACAATACAGATGAAATATAATTTTTATTATTACTAGCTGATCCGGCAAACTTCAGACCGCCTAAACACTTTTTTCTCACCTTTTAAACTTTTCCTGGACTTACAGGAACATTTCTAGACCAAAATTAGCCAAATTGGTTCAGTCGTTCTGGAGTTTTAGCGAGACTAACAAAGGGAAATTCATTTTTATTTATATGGATTTGGAGATTGATGATCAATCTGTTGGGCTACAATATGGGGTAAATAGGTTTCTTCAAGAAAGGACTAAATAGGTTTGTTAAGGGTCGGCAAGGCGCATGTAGTACCCCATTGCAAGCATTCATAGGCCATGGTTACCACTCACAATCAGGTGGGCCATGTGCTTTTCTTGCCACCGTCATGGAATAAAAAAATATAAAAAAACAGCTGAAGCGGCTTTATAATTACATTTTGGATATTCTACATAGATTTGTAATATCATAATTATTGTACTGCTCTTTTTATACTTCGTCTTGATTTCACTTTTATGCTGTACATTTGAATTTACTTGACAATTCCATGGACTTGAGTACTTCCCCAATTGGTTTAGTCTGTTTCATTCTAGGATTTACACTGTTTATTATACCAGTACTTAGTTGCTGTCAGATCTATACCTACATACGCTTATTCCAATTATATCGAAAATATTTGAAAAATATATATATAGAGAGACTTATAAATATTTAGAAAAAACAAGTTATTGTGCTACGAACAGAAAGGATTTAGACAGGGTAAATCAATTAATATGGCAATATTTGATTTTATAAGGGGCGTCATAAAGCATGTAGATGAACGTAAACCGGTACATGTGCCATTTACTGCGACATGACACAAGCGTTTGATTATGTACACTTTGATACACTCGTGAATAAACTTGAAGCCTATGGTATTAGAGGGAACACTCTAAGCTTAATAGAATCTTTTTTACGTAACTCGTCGTAAACGTCCACTGTTATGAAAAATCCATAACATTTGTTCATACAAAAGTAGTTTCTAAACATTGGAAATAAGGTCTATAATGGTGGTAGGTGGAGAGTACTCACCAATGACCGCTTGAGGACTCTGCAGTTAAGTCTGTTGCTAAATATTTTAACTTAATATGATAATATAATATGTAACTTCTTTGACTTTGTACCTAAATGGAAGATTCCATTAAGGCTAAGTTTAAATAAAGAGTTGAGTAATGACTATTCTAAAATAAACATTGATAATGATAGTAGATAAGGACTTTCAAATAAATAGGAGAATTATGAATGAGTTTGAACACCAAGGAGAAAGGAATGGACATTAATACAATGTTTGTTGAGTTCATGAACATCTTTTTGGTCCTTATTGGGCTAGTTTAAAGTGATTATCTAATGTAGCACAGAAACGGGTAATAAATTAGTACTTACTAGCTTCAGCCAGTGGCTTTGCTTGCGTGCCCGGGGTTAAAAAGTAGCCTATGTATCCTATGTACTCCAGACCGTAATCTACGTATGTTCCAAAGTTTATCCCGGTTCTTTCAGTCGTTTTGATGTGACTGAGTAACAAACATACACACATAGTCACAATTTTTTTTTAACATTTATAGTAGCGCTTCAAGCATATCTAGCATAACTAGGATTTTCTCCTGTGTCTTGGGTGCGTACAAGTTCACATACACACCCAGACCTGGAACAACAATCTGTGGATCTTTATAATAACTATCGTGAGACATACTAAATTAAGTAAAAACGCGGGTTACTCACGTGAATATGAGTGAGCTGCGCGACGTCTCCGCGACCGCGCACGCTGCTCATGAGGAAGAACCCCTCTGTGGTTCGAAACTAGTAGAGCTTTTCTCAGTATATTCACGTGAGTAACCCGCGTTTTTACTTAATCTGTGGATCACACAAAGAGTAGTTCCGTGCGGGAATCGAACCCGCGACACGTTGCGCGGCAGTCAGTTGCCCAACCACTGCGCCTACCGTGCAGTCTTTTGGAGTTATTTTGGAAATATATTTCATATATAGAAGTAGACATAAAAGATAAGTAGACAGTAACCATGTTTTCACTATCTCTTAACTCTGAAATAACATTTATTACCTCCAAGATATCAATTGCATTAGATGTTAACTAATTAGTTAATTACATTATCAAACAAAACATGTATTGGATGACAATCATAACGTTTTCCAAAATTGAGAGTGCCTACTAATGTTCTCGGTATCCAATTTATATTTTCACTTATTTTTTTTCTCACATGCATATCAAAACAACTTAGCTGTGTATATAGAATACATTTAACAAACTCAACTTTATGTTTGTTAAAATTACTTCTAATTCAACAACATATCACAGTCTTTTATAGGTAGGCAGACGTGCACATTACGGCGCTTAATGCCACTGTACAATGTAACACCCACTTTTCACTATTTATGTTATGAGTTCCATGTAATAGGGGGTGAGCCTATTGCTATATACTGGACCCTTTTCCAGGCTCCGTGCTACTACTGAGAATTAAAATAACCCAGTAATAATTTGCCCGACCTGAAAATCGAACCCGAGACCTCTTACTCGGCAGTTGTACTTGCGACCACTCGGCCAATGAGGCAGTTTAATTCATCAACAGGCCAACGACGCAGTCAACTTCTATTTCATGTTTGTTAAAATGACTTCTAATTCTTGTTTGTTAAAATCACTTCTAATTCATGTTTGTTAAAATTACTTCCAATTCTTGTTTCAGTCTAAAATCTCATAGGAACTACTACAATGATTTGAGCGACAAGCTGTCAATGGACCCAAGGGCAGTCATTGGAGATGACCCTCTCTCACAGGATGATGAGGTGATATAGCCATAATTATTATAAACAAACAATGAAGATAAGACTATGATTTAGGGACTAAGTTATAACTGTGTTACAGTATTCATAGGCGTAATTTAATGTTGCGTTCTATTGTGATGCTATCTGTTATTTTACTGTTTATAAAAAGTATTCTATTCTAATTGGCTAGATACCTAGGTTATAATAAATTGTTTCAACTTTTGAATGCAATAAATAATTAAAAAATAATCATACTCTCATCCATTGATTTGACAATTTACCTACTTTTGGATTTTGTCTCGCTAATTTTAAGGAAATAAGTATGCTATTTGACGCAGATATACGATGACGTCATAAGTTGCGATCCAATACAAAATTCATAGAAAAGTATCATTTTTGACATTACAATAAAAGTATTGAATTTGACTACCTGTCAACTACTGTATTAAACTACGTATATGAAATATTCTAGCTAAACCATATAATGAAGACTCAACACTCAATTTTACATTTGAAGTAAGTTAAACAAGCAGTAACAGTATTATTTTAACTTGATTTTCATTTAACATTTTATCTCAATTCAGATGATGTTTATCTATTCCCAATTTCGAGCATAACTGTTCGTATTTCGATTAAATAATCAAGTATAAATCGAACCACTCACACCTACAATAACTCGATAAATAAGACTACTAAAGAACCTAAGAAATATATTCAAGTAAACATAAGGTTTGAATATCCAATTCGCTACTACCATAACAATAAACAACAGGCAGGTCAATGACTCCATTATTTGCACTGAATCTGAAACCGCTATGTAACCTTTGTACAAATGTAATTAAGTAAACCATGTATACACAACTCAAGGTGAAATAATATTTGTTTTAATTATAGCTACAGATGCATATTATATACCTACCTACCTACCATTGTACGTACATACACATACATACTCATTGTTTTGTTTAAGTTTTAAGTAATAATTATTATTATATTAAGGCTACGTAGGTATGCACTTTTGTTTTATGTTAGTCTCGAGTTTCGTAAAAATCTGCTAGTTCAACTCGCAGTTTTACCATTCCGGTTCTGTTTTTTTTTAAACTTTGTCCCATCCTAAATTTTTCTCCTGTGTCATGGCTTCCTGGGTACAATGACAACCCTATCACAACCCTCCGAGACGTGGAACGACGTTTTTTTTTATGGAATAAACCGGTAAACGATCACCTGTTGGTAAGCAATCGGCGTTGCCCATGGACACCTTGAACACCAGAGGTGCGTTACCGGCCTTTTAGCATTACGAATTTGAGGATCGTTGTTGATTCAGGGATTGGGGAAAGGGGGGAGGGTAATTAGGCATCCGGTAACCATACTCACACGACGAAACACAACACAACGTTGTTTCACGTCGGTCTTCTGTGAGGCCGTGGTATCACTCCGGTCGAGCCGGCCCATTCATGCCGAAGAATGGCTCTCCCACACTTGAATATTGACGATTTGTGAATCTCACAAATAGGTGTACCGGAATACAAACCTCGTAGTCAAATTTGAAAGATATGATGTGGACTGCAAAATCGCTGTTTGAATTCAAATTAACTCGTCGAGTACCGGTTTTGCAGACACAATTATAGAACAATAGGTTGCGGTCACCGGTGACCGCTTGGTGTTTGACAGTTTAAAAGAGACAGACCTCTGAGTTTGTTTCGGCATTTCTCGAGAGTAGTCAGTTAGGAAATGTCGACCTCATCGTTCGCTTGATAAAATTGACGTGTAAAAGTGCTGCCTTGTAGCCTATTTGCAGAAATAAATTCACTTGTTTCACATGTTAAATAAGTATTCTAATACAAATCTACAATGCAATCATCGTCGTATCAAATGCATACAGTGTTCGAAACTCGACGTTCAAATAAGATAACAAACCATTTAGTTTCATAACATTATCTAGCACCACATTAGTACTAGATTACGCAGTTCCCCATTATTATGCAAATTCATATTTTATGTTTTTATATAATTGTATCACGTGCGTACTAAGCAGTTCCACTTTCTTAATTTAGTTAAATAAAGTGTCATGCTTATATCGTTAAGAACCTATCGCCTGAATACTGAAAGTTTACTCAATTTGTACTTGAATATTGTGCGGTCTCTGTCATTTTACAGAGTTTGTAGTGACAGAATTTATTATAGGTACTTAAGCACGACTTAGAATTGAATAGCGTTTGCGTATTTCGACATAAGCTAACTTCGCTTCAATATTTAAAAACCCCCTTTTCTCTAAAATCATTTCAACTCATTTGTTATCCCTCTGGTGCTGTGGGTGTACATGGGTGAAGATAATCGCAACTTGTTTATAAAACATGTTATTGAATTTGTTCCAGAGCGTATGGAAGCAACATTTCTGTGATAATGAGTTGAAAACTCTGATACTGCAAGATGTGGTGAGAACGTTTCCTGAAGAGCTGTACTTTAGAGAGAAAGACGTTCAGGACCTGATGGTAAGTTCATACTTTACATCCTTTCTAGGCTTACCCACATTCACTTGTGGTCAGTTATCGTATATATAAGGCCCGTGATTAAAGGTGTAATACGTAATTCGATCTTAAAGATAAAAGAGGGACTTAGCTAATGTTTTGCCTTAAACTATTCATCTATAAAAACTCATGAATTAAAAATAAACCGTTAGCATAAATCAAACTCTATTCCATTTCAAACAATCTTATAAAAAAAATCTTTATATGTATTTATAAACATTATGTATTGGTCATAAACGTATTTTCAGGTCCGCATCTTATTCTTCTGGGCACGTTCCCACGCAAACGTGGGTTACAGACAAGGAATGCACGAGATCCTAGCACCAGTGCTCTTTGAACTGTACCTAGATAGGAAATTTGCCCCTGATGGATTAGGGTAAGTTATATCAAAGAACATATTTATCTTTTTTTATTTTATTTGAAAGTTGTCCTACACCTAAGATTTTTTCCTTTGTCGTGGGTGCGTTTACAAACACACAAGTTCACATACACATGACGCTCAATGTTATTTTATTAAACAAACTGTATTTTGTTTCAGGGATAAGTTAAAATATATACTAAAGGAAGACTGCTTAGAACACGATAGCTAGTAAGTATATTCTACATTCTGTTTTCGATCAGTCGAATTATGACTAAAATGAAGAAATATTGCTTTAAAAACTATTCTTTTTCCAGTATGCTTTTCAGTGCAATAATGAAAGGCTTAGAAAGGTTTTACACGACGGGTGACATCGTGCCTACATCGTGTGGAAGATTACCCACCGCTAAAATGTCTCATGTAAGTTATGTCAACCAAGAGGTTGCGCAAAATTGAACGCAATTTAGCGCAAAAATCGAGTTTGCGCAATTAATGTAAAACATTAACTTTATCTTTTTAATTTTATTTATAATGTGAGATCACTATAAATAACTACTGTACTATTATTTCAGAATCCAAACGAAGTGATAAGATATTTGGATAAAGTGAGAGAAGAATTTCTAGTGCCTCTCGATCTAGAATTATCTGTACATCTAGTTGACTGCAATATATCTATGGAGCTATTTGGAATGTAAGTTTTCCTTCAGAGAAAATAGTGAACTTAAGATTTGATAAATACTACTATTTTTAGCAAAAAAACAATATAAATGCTAGAAATGTCTTTCAGTTTTTTTTATTCTTTAAGTTCATAAATAATGCATTGTAAATTGTAATATGTTTTTATTTTTTTCCCCAGACGATGGCTACGACTGTTATTTGGCCGAGAGTTCCCGAGATCTGAGATTCCCAATCTGTGGGGATTTTTGTTTGCTGACGGACCGATGTTCCCGAATCTACACTATGTCATCATCGCCATGCTAATCTCTATGAGAAATACATGTAAGTAATTCAATACTAGAATATAAAATGCTTGTACATTGTACAATTATTTATACTCTAGCTTCGTAAAGTACCTATCTATATGCTGCCAGCCTTTTAAGTTCTAGTTGACATCGATGCGGACGACTTTTTTGGCACTCCTTGTAAATAGTTATTTTTTGTATTCTTTATACTCTTTGTAAATAATTTTTAAGTTTTATAGTTTTAAATCTAGTCTCTTAATAATAAACCGGACGATCAAAAAGAGGTTAAATAAAATAATCATAATAAAAAAAATAGAATTAGAATTCTAATGATGTTAATGGTTCTAATACTTTTAATTTGTTGCGTAAAATGTTTTTGTAAAGTTTTTTAATTATTTTACAAAAACATTTCCTACTGGGGTAACGTTACCCCAATCAGACCTTTTTTTTTAATAGGAATATTTAAATAATTACTAGCTATAAAATTAGTTGTCTAGATGAAGTAAATGTTGTGCCTTATTTTGTATTTGTTCTTTCATCGATTGCGAAGTTATTTGAGATTTTCCTGGGGTAACGTTTTTGGTTTTGCTAGATCTTTGAAATGGTTAAGCGGATTCTTATCAGATTTTGTACATGGCTTCTTAGGAATTAGTTTAAAGGACAATGTCCAAAATTGCCCTGTGCAATAAAGAGTATCAGAATATACGATAATTAATCCCCTAAATTATTATATAAGTTTCAAATACTTTTGTATCACGGACTAGCTGTATTCCAAAACGTACTTTTAATAGAGTTTAACGCGATTAATAACATTAGATCGCCATCTTCGCCTGATTTTAAATGCCTACGCCTAATGTAATAAATAAATAAATCAGTAAGTCCATGTCATGTCGTGTCGAAAATGAAATAAGGATGTCCAATAAATTATAATAATCGATCGTGTTTTTTTTTCTTTATGACTGCAGTCATACTCCATGTTAAATGGGTAGTAAATACTGTAATCAAAAGCTCTTTACTTCTCAATCATTCAAACATTCAACATTCGTACAAATATTAGTTGTTATGGTTAGACTATAACCTCAACATCTGACATTTTAATTGAAATATATCTTTTCTGCAGCTAGTCTGCTATAAAAATAAGATCTTCTAGGTGTCTACAAAATTAAATGATAGATACAGAATACAATACATATTTATCCAATACTCTTGGCTCCAGGGCACAACATATTGCACAACAAATTTAAACTAATTCATAAGAAGCCATCTGCACAATATGATAAGAATCCGCTTAACCGTTTCAAAGATCTAGAAAAACCAGCAAACGTTACCCCAGCAAAATTTCGATAAATTCACAACCGATGAAAGAACAAATACAAAATAAGGCATAACATATACTTCATCTAGACATCCCATTAGAAAGAAAAAGATCTGGCTGGAATAACGTTACCCCAGCAGGAAATGTTTTTGTAAAATAATTAAAAACCTATGTGCAACAAATTTAAAAATGTGCGCAACAATTACAGAAGCCGCACAACTAATTATCTATTAGATTCAAATGACCATTTTCGACAACATCTGGCCTGGGTAACGCACACGATGTTTCATTTTCTAAGATAAATTTCCTGGGAATTTTTAAGATGTTAAATCTTTTCGTATATTATAACTTTGAATAAAATATTCCTTAAACTTGATATTAAAACTTTCATCAACTATTTCCAGTATTAGACCCAGATCCGGGAGTGATCCTGTCCGCATTGATGCGTCCAGTGTGCCTGTGCGTGGGGTACGTGTGTGCGCTGGCCCTGCACCTGCGCGCCCCGCTGGAGTACCCGCGCCCGCCCGTACGGCAGGAAGTCATCAATCACACGTAAGTACAAATTACACACCTGAGATATTTAAACTAGAAATCTAACATATTTATTCAGTGTACAAAAATAGTGTTAATTGGTATAGCAATGGATGAAAGTACGAAGACGAACGATAAAAAGTTAAAAAGTGAAAAAAAAAATACTGTAGGATGAAACTCATTAGAAAAGGAAGGGTATATGATAAAAATGAACGGGAAAATAAATTACGGTCGACTTAAGATCGTGAAGTGGGAGGGAGTGAGTTTTTAGTGGTTAAAAAGTAGTTTATCTTGATTTCTGGCGAACTACAAGACCTATAGAAAAAAGTTCAATAGAAAAGTTGTAGATACTGAAAAGATCTACAACTTTTGTGTTTTGACATAATTATGTTTTTGTACATGTTTTTTTTACTTTATAATAGGTAGGATTGTTCTGGAATTTTTGAAATAATAATAAGCCACGTGTCACTCTGTAAAAAAAGATTTTATTTAACATAAAGTACCTATTAAGGTACACTAATTATCAAGTAACAAATTAATAAGTATCCTCTCACCTATAAAGCAAACAAACGACGATTGAGTCAATTATTTTTATTTCAATTTCCTTTTCATCTATTTTAGTTAATTTTTCCATATGTTCAATTACTACTATTGCGTTTCTTGTTTTGACAGGTCTAAAAAATCTTTCACACAGTAATGTGCCATCTATTGTAACATCAAAGAAGGTTAAATTAGTTAAATCAAATGAGAACAATCATTAAAGGAAACATGTTTTCTTTACACATTCTCAAAATTTACGCGAAAAATTCTGAAAAAATACTGTTTTTCTGATTGTCATACCTAAGTTCTTGAAATCATAATATGTGTTAAATAGATTCGAATTCGAAGAAAATTATTAATTCGAATAATTAAGCCTATCGGTACTTAAGCTGGGCAGGCAGCCAGTTCAGTACAATGTTTAGAATGAAAAATTCGTTATTGCCGCTGCATTGATAACATAAAACGTTTTACAGCCCCTCAAGAAGGTAATTATGCAGAATTTTTATAAATCTAAAGAGATAAATATAATACATATTAGCATTTTTAAAAGTTTTGCTGGCGTAAACAATAAGATGATGAAATACTTCACAAAAACAACGAGAGATGGCACTGTTACAAATATTTAACGAAAGAATAAAAAAGCTTTACGAAATCGTGGCAACACTTATAGACCGACTATATTTTTGGTATTTGACTAATTTATTACATAAGTTAATATTAAAACAAAATAATACTCACAGATGGAAAGCAACATCATCTTTCTATTTACTTGATTTTCGCATTTTTTTTACATTGCAATTCGGCATTTTTCGCTGAAATTCGTACCACGTCATTGCCATTTGGTGAATGTCACTGATTGCATGTCACTACTTTTATATAACTGGTATGATTGGCAATAATGTACCTTTGGCAGTGGGGAACGCCTGACAAATGCTGATATTTAGGTTAAATACTTAAGGTTTCATCCTACTGTAATTTTTTGGTTTCAAAAACTATCGACCCTGATCTATATGGTGATAACACTGCTAAGGGTATTTAAGACTCAACGTTTTTAACATTATGTGATGAAATACGTTTTATATTTCTGAACTGTAGCCTGTATTTTTTCAACATAGGAACGCGGAAACTGCAGAAACAGAGCCTCGTTCCTGGCGTGAAGTGGAGGCCCGTGCTGGGTCAGAGTCAGGGTCCGAGGGAGTGGCGGAAGGCGCCGACGTGGCGCGCGAGCTGGCCGCGCTGGCACTCGTCCGCGCGCAGCTGCCCGCCGCCGCCGCCGCCCTGGCGCGCGCACTGCCGCGCCCCCCGCCCGCCGTCCAGCAACCGCTGCAGCAGATACTGCAGGTATGCAGGGTACATGCTGCAATTTTTCATTGCATAGAGCAGCAAACGAGTAGACAAATCACCTGCTTGTAAATATTCGGCCCCGCTCATAGACACTCAACACTAAAGGAGTTATTCAATTACTTTTTTGTGGGTGGGAAATCATCAATTTATTCCTCTCATCCCGGGCGAGGCAGGAGGTAATGTTAAGCTCTTACTGACTGAAACTAATGTGGTCTTGCACTTGTTCGATGCCGGGGCGTTGTTATCTATAATATGGTGATCTGCAACACTAGCAGGATACTATTCAAACATCAGCTCCCCGTTCATAACTAAATGAAAAAGAGAGCGGGGCAGCCGAACCAGCCGGGCGGTGGGGAAGTGGTCTCAGGAGCGGGAAGGAGGTATGGGATATTGAGATAGTATAGTATACCACTGAAGTTTGACAGTCCATTACTCCACTAAGCAATACTCGCTGGCTCCGCACTGCTGTCTCGCTCTGCGTCAATGGATAGACACGTCCGCAACTCCGCTCTCCGGAGCGGAGTTGAGAGAGAGAGAGAGAAGGGCGAGTATCGGAATACTCGCTAGCTCCGCTCTGCTGCCCCTCTCCACTTTAATGGCAACTAATGTTGTCAGATTTTACTCTGTAAGGTCGTTAGGTTTTTTGAATTTATGGCAATAACCGAATATGATATATTCAGATCAAGCATCATGAGTCATGACTGACTTTTGATATAATCTAATAACTAATGCATTTTACTGTTTCCCAACAGCTCGCAGCGTTGCTCCAATGCCGCAACCACGCCTTAATAGATGTGGAAACGGCATTAGAGGCCGCTGAAGGTCAAACAACAGAGAAGGTAGGTCGTCGTCAACTGGTACCCGTCGCTATGATACACAAACAACAGCAGAAACCGAATATAAAACCTTTGAACAAAGTGAAAGAGGTCCCATTAAAGGTGTTTCATCAGGGGGAGAGTGTCGCTAGTGATCTCCCATTCTTGGACCCCCTGCGTTTAAGGACAGAGTGACTAAGAACCAAGATTATGTTGTACAGTTATTATACCATTAATTTTTGAAGGTAAACAGAATACCGATTTGTAAGACCAACGACCAATTTGTAAGATAGCGCTCGTAAAGTATTAATTTGTCCAATAAAGAATGACCTAACTAAACCATTGGACATGCAATTTTTGACAGCTACAGTGATAGGACAAACATGCCTAATGCTATACGAGCGCCATCTGTTGAACGAAACACCGAGACTCGTTGCCAAGCTTGACTTCATATCTTATGAATGCATTCTTGTTTTAAGAAGAGTATATGGTGATAATGACACGACCTTAAGGCAATTTCTCTGCTCCTTTCAAGTCGGTTGTTCACTGTTTTAGAATAATTTAATTCAATTTCTTCTGAATGGTATCTTCATGTAGCTAAAATGAATCTTTAATGTTCAATACTCGTTTTGTATAAACATTTTTTAATCTTCTCTATACTATAAGCTAAACGTGTTTTAATGTTTGTTAAGTATAACTATCTTTATTAGGTACTTAGACTATTTCTCTACTATTGCCGTTACGTCCTTATTTTTTAAGGATTTTAAGATAATATATGCTGGTGCACTCGAAATAGCTTTTAATTATTATTTAGGTTTCATTGATTTATTGCCATTGCAATAACTTCAAAGTGATTGAATGTGAAAGTGAGTGACCTTAAACTATATTGATTAGTGGTAAAAAAAATTTGTCATGATTGTAATGATAAATGGTCAGTAACATTGTAACATTGTTCTTTCTCGACAAATGTATGAGATTGCAGGTGTTCCCATGAAATTTTCTACTCAATCTAAATTATACCTTCCTAAACTCACCGATTCACCTTTTTATGAGTTTTTATTATGGAATTTAACTTGCACACAATTCATTGTAAAATACATTGTGTATGAAAAGTGACAGGTAAAAACGTTACAGAAAACGGCATATTTATTTAATTAGTTGATAATATTTATGTATATATATGTATCTCTTATACCTTTTCTAAATTTATTATTCAATTACAGATGTAATTGTTATAATATTTATAAGTTTATATGTTATGTAAAAAATATCTGCTATTCTATCTTCTCTTTCTCCGAATTATGTATAATTTGATTAATATAAGGCTAGTCAGGTCACAAAATAGGGTTAAGTTGTATGTGTGTACATTTTAGAACATTTTTTATTTTAATTTTCATTTTGGAACTGGAAAAGGGGTTATGCATTTAAATATAGAACAATTTAATAACTTAATTAAATGGTCTTTGGCTAGTAATAAGAAAAAGTAAGATTTCGTTTTTACATAGGATATTTTTATGTATATTAATCTATTTCTTTTCTTAATCTGTAGCAAACAGTATTTCATGGATCCAGTATTTGCTAATAACTGTTTTTGTAGTTCTTTTTATAACAACTGTTAAATGAAGGTGTTAGCGCCGCTAGGCGCTAGTATAGTTATTGGCCAATAGAATATTTGGTTATGTCAAATCAAGTGATTGGATAATGGCAATACATCATATGTCTAAATCGGTTGGGTGGTTTAGAAGAAACGAGGTAATAAAGAATATCACACTCATACCCATATACATACAAGATACACGCGAAAAACAATACCCTTCCTTCAGTCGGGTAAATAGGACCTAAGGCTCACTAGCGCCATCTCGTTATGCGAAAAATCGAAAACACATTCAACAAACTATTAGCTGTGCTAATTTCTCTTTATGTTATGTTAATTTATTTTAAAGCAGTTTTAAACAAAACTATAATGTTATTTAAATTTTATTTGACGTACAGACAACACATTAAGCCACCTCAATTGAAATGCAAGACGCATTTCAATTACAAAAATAGAGATGAAATTGAAAATCTATTAGAAAAGTTCAATAAATTGTCAGTTTGATGTGCTTACGTCTAAACATAATAGAACAATTAATTATTTTATTCTTTGGGTAACACACATAGGTGTCTAGAAAAATGTTTACCACTATATAAATTATATTATATGAATGTAAATTTTGCGCATTTATTGCGGCATTGCAAGATTTGGGTAGTTTTTATTAATATCCTAAAATGTAATTTACTTATACTTACGTACTAAGAAATGTAGAAGTATTAAGACCGGCAGTTATAGTCAATGTTAGAATACTTGCTTAGACATTGAACCAACATTTGCCAAAGACACTAGGACTTATATTTGGTCTAAATGTTTGTCCAATGATATGTCTAAATGTTTGTACAATGAAACAATAAGCATAGAATTTATTTTGTGATAGTAAATGCTTCAATATAAAATTTTATTACAAATATTGGCTGTTATAAGAGTGATCGTACAATGGTTAAGTGCAAGATAAATGTATATTTGCTATTTAGATGTAAGCCAAAGAACAAGATGTTATTATACGTATAAATGTATATTGATTGAGCCTTTGGAATTTATGGAAAGTAAATAAAATATATTTTTTCGTCCATGATTGTTTTTGTTGTGTAATGTTATCTTCTGAATGTCTTCTTCTTCCTGAATGTTCACCAGTAGGTTTAAAGTTTTTAGAGCTCTTATTGAGAGTGCTGGGACCAGTTGAAGTGTTTTCCTATTTAATGAAATAACCTTTAAGCTATGTATTGTGTATTTTAGCTTTTTTATTGTACAACAAATTTAAACTAATTCCTTAGAAGCCATGCACCAAATATGATAAGAATCCGCTTAAGCATTTCAAAGATCTAGCAAAACCAAAAACGTTGCCCCAGCAAAATCTCGAATAACTTCGCAACCGATGAAAGAACAAATACAAAATAAGGCACAACATTTACTTCATCTAGACAACTAATTTTTTAGCTAGTAATTATTTAAATATTTCCATTAGAAAGAAAAAGGTCTGGCTGGGGTAACGTTATCCCAGCAGGAAATGTTTTTGTGAAATATTTAAAAAAACTATAAGCGCAACAAATTTAAAAATGTGCGCAACAATTACAGAAGCCGCACAACTAATTATTTATAAGATTCAAATGACCATTTTCTGGCCTGGGTAACGCATATATCTGCTTTGCTTTGCCTACTTCAGTGGAAAACCATTCAATCATAATTTGTGAGTTGCGTGAAACAAAATGTTTTTGCTGTTATGGCTGTCAAGTGTCAAAAAATATTAATGTCACTTTTCTTATCACAGTGACTGTTCAATGTTGTGTTGTCATAATATAGTGAATAAATCGATTTTTTTAGTTTCATGCTCAACAGTTTATTGTTATAAGTAAAAAACTACAATTTCGCAAGGATGGCAGAAGTAGCAAAAGAGAAAGAGGAAAATCCGTTGGATATAGACGGAAGCAACTTCAATCCCGACATGTATTTAGATGTACTCCTCAAATGTGCTACATTGAAGCAAGTGATGGATAAAGAGGCTGAAATAGTCACCCAGAGCCAGTTCCTACAGTCAGAAATGCAAACGTTAGTATACGAGAACTATAACAAGTTTATCTCCGCGACAGAAACTGTTCGAAAAATGAGAACAGATTTTAAAATAATGCAAGAAGAAATGAACAAACTGAGCGAAAACATGAACAAAATTACTACATTCAGCGCTCAGATATCTGATTCGTTGAGAGAAAGTGGAAACAATGTCAGCAGATTATGTGGAACGAGACAATTGTTGGATAAACTCCAGTTCTTATTCTTGTTGCCTTCCCAACTGAACAAAGCTATTGAAGAAGGCAGATATGCTGATGCAGTACATGATTACACGCATGCTCAAAGAGTATTACAAAAGTATGGTAACCAGCCTTCATTCCAAAGCATTCAGACTGAGTGTTCTGAAATTATCTATGGTCTAAAGAAGACGTTACGGGAAAGACTGCTAAGTCCTGATACCTCAGCTTCAGAACTGGCTGAAAGTGTTGGCTTATTGAGACAACTCCAAGAAACAGACTCTTCTCTACAAGACATTTTCCTAAGCTGTTCTGAGAGTCGGCTTGACCAGCACTTACAGGCATTAAGTGGGATGGTTGAAACTACTGATATATTAGAGTGGGTTGAAAAATGCAATAACACTCTATTAGCTGACCTTGGAATTATTATATCTTGTTACCATGATATGTTTCAAGACAAAGAGAGTACTAACATTCCAGATTTTGCAGACAAAATTATGTTACAAGTATTCCACCTATTTGAAGAAGTTGTCAAGAAACCAGATAATATTGGAACTGAAATCCTGATCAGAGGACTGGACAAATTCTTCAGGAAGTTACAGGCAATGACAGAGATCATATCTAGTGACACCATGTCTAACAAAGCAATTGATGTAGTAATACAGTGCATCAATCATAAGGCCACAATACAATATCAATCAATTCAATCTCAGTTTAAAGACAGCTTGACAAAAGTAAGACAGTCTCTCGCGAGTAAAGGCACAGACACCACTGATTTGAAGGACATATTGAATTCACTCCAAGTATACTTATTGCAAAAAGTTCAGGCATCATTACTGGATCTCATGGCCTTCTTACAAAATAATCTATCCTTTGGTCTGAAACCATGGTGTGCTACAGCTGTAGCAGACACTTGTTGGAAAGTCATTTCCGAGACAATGGTCAATTTGTCCGATATGGTCAAGAAGATGGCCTGCCTGCAAACATCCAATAACAACATTCCCTTTGAGTTACTATTAATATTAGCTAAATTATGTTTAGAAATGCAAGAGAGTGGTGTTTCAACATTGCACACTCACTTGCTTAAGCTTTTAGAAGAATCTGCACCAGGGTTAGCAGTACAGAATAAGGACACAAACAGTGTCATGGTACACCTTTCTACAGCTGCTCAAGCTGCTCTGGATTCTGAGGTGGTCTTCATTGGGCAGACAGCAGCACAGATGTTGAGAGTCTCAGTACTGGCTAGGGATTGGTTGAGAGCACCTGAACCGCGAGGGCCTCGTGCTGTTTGCCGCCGAGTGGTGGAAACTCTGGCAAGTGCAGACAGTGCTGCCTCGCAACTATTCCCGACAAGTATTAAACCTTCCAGCGATTCTAGTCGTCGCACTATCTGGTCGCGCGCTCCATCTTCATTCTCACCACTGAACAGAATATTCTCCGAGAGAATTGAAGTATTTAGTCCAGCTGGCGCTGACAGGGCTGCATTATCTAATGGAGCTCTGAAAGTGGCCCTGAAGGCGTTAGTAGAGTGCGTGAGATTACGTACGTTCGGCAAGCACGGCTTGCAACAGTTGCAAGTGGATGTGCACTTCTTACAACAGAGGTTGTCTTGTATGGGGAATGATGAGAGATTACTCAATGCTTTGCTCGAAGATGCGCTTGCTTCCGCGCAGCTGAGATGCGTCGACCCACAACTAATGGAGCCTAGCATTGTAGACATTATTTGTGAAAGAGGATAAAATCTTACTTCAACTGTAATTATTTATAAATTGATGTATATTAATAATTTATATGAATAAAATAAACGTTATAATAATTTTTAGACAATTTATTTATAACCCATTAATCAAAATTGCATCATCATATTAAAAATAATGATATCATCTACATATATAAAATTTTATGTTAAATGCTTCTAAAACATAAATCTCACAATACGGACTACTCTTTTATATTTTAGCAATTAATTACATTTTAAACTGTTAGTCACGAGAGGAGAATAAACATTATTTAAAATTAAAAACAACATAATATATTATTACCATTAGAAACAGAGAAATTGATATACATATTTTGGTCCTAGTTCACTATAAATTTGGAGAGCATCATTGTATGAATACCCATTGACTAAGAAGACACGTGGTCCGAATTCTGCTAAAATCTTTGACCCTGGCTATCATCAAGCAACATCAGAAAATAACTGATATATTTAAGACTATTGCAACTACTTGTGGCGCTGATTCTTTTGTGCATGTATGTAGACTGTGTTACTAAAATTTAATTAAATATCAATATAATTTGCATACCTTATTTATATTTCGGTCCCTACCCACAGATGGTGAGTCATAAAAGTATTTAATTATAATCCGAACAAGAGAATCAACACCATTAAAAATCTGGTACCAACATTAACGGGCGAACATTTTTTATAGAAGTGCCATATAAAATGTACTGTGGCTACACTTAAATAATGTATATGGTAAAACATTTGCAAATATCTCAACAACTTGGTAAAGCGATGTGGGGAATCCGGAAATGAAATATTCATTCAGTTTAACCTTCTGACCATCACAGCAGTCAACAAAGAGTTGCCCTCTGCGGCTATTTGTTAGTATTTGTAGTTGTTGTCATCTTCATTAATATAGACAAAATATAAAGATAGGAGAGCCATCAATATAAATAAATTTAAGTAAAAGAACATAATTAGGATAAGAAATAAAAGAGCTTTATTTACGTTTAAAAGTCTATCGTGTAGTCGTAACAGAGGCCTGCGGGGGATTTTGGCTTGTCATCTTTATAAACAGGACTCAGGCGGTCAAAAGGTTAAATAATAACGCTTTAATTTTAACAGTATTATCCAGAATATTCAAATACTGGATTCCTCTGACGCACCCTATGGTATTGAACTACATAACTTCATTTATATTATAAAATAGTTACCTCGGAAGTACTCGCGAAGTAAAAAACTAATCAGATTGAGGTGCTGTTGTTTTTAATTATTTCATACATTATACGAAAACTCTGGTACTCAAATTCCTCTACTCCCTTATAATAATGATGAAAACATACTACGAAGCACTAAATAACCCAAACTCCACGATCGGGAAGCTCAATTATCCATTATTATAAGCATTGTATATTACAAATCCATTCAAATCAATATAATTATGTGTAAACAATTTCAATAATAAGCTCATTTCAAAACTGCCGATATTTATAAACTTCATTAAGAACTCCGTTATTCTAATATCATTTTAAAACTTAAGTTTTGCACCTTCTCGCAATATAGTTAGGCTTATTATATCATTTTAAAAACAATTCGATAAATCATTGAATGGTGAACATTTACAGTTTAACTGAAAAGTACAGCATGTTAACCGATAATGCCAACGAAAATTATTATGCCTAGATCTAATAAACATAAATATTTACTCTTATACATATATAATATCTAAACTCTAGAACAAATTGACAAAATATACTTATTACTTTAAGTTCTCATTTACATATAGACAAGATCAACGCCTATCTAACTGACTCACGATAAAAATATTGTTTGTTGATGTACCATTTCCATCAAATGTGTAAAAATATTTTTATTTAACAATGGTCCGTTTGTTACGATTGTGAGCCTTGTGATGCGCGATATTATCTAAACATACTAGCGGTCCCCTTACTAATAACATCCCGAAATATAGGGAACATTTTCAGTCCAACTTCATAACTCGAACCAATCAATTTATTACAATATCTACTTGTTATTCTTTTGCATAAGTTTCCTCATCTTCTCTGGCACGGGCACGCCCCGGTGGGCGCCCGTCCTCCTCGGTTTTACGCTGGACTTCGCTTCAGACTTTTCAGGTTTAGGTTTCCTCGCTTCTGCCGGAGTCTTCGTGTCTTTGTCAAGCGATTTTCTTGTAGGTTTTGTTTCCTGTTTGTTCAATTTTGTGCTAGTAGAGGTGCTACTATCGCTTCGTGTGCTTGACTTTCTAGAAGCCGGAGCTTGTTTAGGCTTGTCGGCAAGGCTTGACTTGCGGGGCGCTGGTTTGATGACAGGTTTGACGTCGGGCGGCGGCGACCGGCGGCGCCGTATCCGCGGCGGAGTGTGCGCCAGCGTCGTGTGCCGCGACAACAGCGCCGCGCTACTGAACAACTGGCCGCAGTCACATCTGTGCTCCACTTCCAATGTTCCTGGAAAATATAAGTCATCAATTAGAAACTTGACAGTGAAAATGTTATAATATCATCGTGAACTATAAAAATAATACAATTTTAACTTACTTCTTTTGATTTGTTTCACGGGTAACGTTTGTGGTTTGTGCCTGACTGAGACGACTTTTCCCAAAGATTTCCTCTTTGCTATCCCACTCAACGACTTTCTCTTATCAGCTAAGGTTTTCTTTTGAGGTGTGCGATCTTGTGCAGATTTCGTAGATTTTTCAGGAATGGTTTTTGGGAAAGAGTATTTCACGGTTTCACTATCATCAGAGTCAGTCGAAGGCAATGGTTCTACTTTAGGTGTCTTGGCTACAATTTTTACAGAGGATGGTTCTACAGGTTTCGGTTTCAAGCGCGGAATTTTAGGCGGGTGTTGTAAAGATGTTCTTCTCTTAACTAAATCTTTGGAATTCGGCCGTTCTATTTGGAGTGAACTACGTTTATTCGCTCGAACTTTCATGAAGACTTTTTCTTCCGTTACGTCTTCGACTTGGAAGTTTGGATTCAGCATGTATCTAACTTCATCGTCGTCACTCGATTCTACTGCTGGTTTATTGTCCTCGGGACTGGCAACTTGTACAGGTGCTGTAGATTTGAGACGTTTATTTGCATTGGGTGTAGATTTCTCTTTCGGGGATTTCTTTTTAGGTGTGTCCTGGACTTTAGTTTCAGAGACTTCAACCTTTTTTATTTTTTCCGGAATTTCGGATTTTACTTCTGTTTTGACAATTTCTGTCTCCGAAAAACTTCTCTTTGCAGGCGTAACTTGTGGTTCGACGGGTTTGGTTTCAATTTTCTGTGGAACAGTCTCTATTTCTCTTTGTATCTCTTTTACAACTTCTGCAGGTGTATCTTCAATTGGTTTCGGCTTTTCTACAGGTAATTCGATTTTTTCAACTTCTTTTTTGTGCGCGTCTTCCTTTATTACTCTCTCCTCAATTACTTTCGCGGTGTCAACATTTTCACTCTTTTCTTCTACTTTAACAGACTCACTTGAGTCTTCAACAGATTCTCCTGCTTCAGAGCCTTCGACTGGTTTGGCTTGTTTTGACTGCCTTTTCTTCCTTTGACAGATAATAGTGTGTTTATTTAGGGAATGCTCGTTAGGGAACACCATGTAGCAAAGTGAACACTCGTGTATTATATCTTTGGTTGACAAAGAACTCTTAACGCTCTTATCGTCAGACTTTTCTGAACTAGTTTCTACATGTTGCTCCTTGTGTTCAATCAAATGATGCAGTTTTCTGAATGTTTTCTTACAAACTTCGCATTGGTGTAAAGTCACAGGCTTTTCGACATTATTTTGTACAACAGCTGGCGTGGTTTTTTGCCTATTTATACCATCGTGGGTTTCCCTATGTTCCACCAAATGATGTAATTTCCTAAAAGATTTGTCACAGGGTTCGCAACGAAAACCAGCACTCGCATCTTCGCTGTGTTTAGAACTATTTGGTTCTTTCTCAATCTTGGTGTCGGATTGCTCCGAAGAACTCTTTCTCTGAGTTCTCGTGGGTGCTGAGCTAGGGTTGTGAATAATCCGATGCTGAACCAAATGATGCAACTTCCTGAATTCTTTCTTGCAGACTTCACAGCTGTACACCGATTTGATCACGGCAGGAGCTTCCTTCTCTACCTTCTTCGGCTCCTCTTTCTTGTGTTGTAATTTATGACTCACCAAATAAGATAATTGTCTAAATGTTTTACCGCAGAACTCGCAAACCAGATCATTACCTTTGTTGAATAATTTTGCTCTAGGTTTTCTAGATTCATGAGTTTTTCTGTCATCAGTCTCCTTTTCTTTTCTTTCAGTTTTCTCCTTAACTGGTGGCGTATCTTCTATAACGATAACTTCGTCTTTATCATCAGGTTTAGCAATAGAGTCCTTAGATTTACGTTTCTTCGGAGTTTCTTTTCTAACAACAAGAGGTTTATCATCATCAAGATCCATGTCATCAGATTTGCTACCTTGAGACTTAGCATCAGATTCCTGTGACGGTCTCATCCTCCTGGGGCTTCTTTTATCTGAACCAGATCGACTTGGCGAAGGACCTGTACAATGTTTCACGTGTTTAAAAACTACGTTCTCAGTTCTAAACAACTTGTTACATATTGGGCAGACTATGTTCTCATTGATTTTTCCCATTGTCCAATTTTCTTTGATGATTGCATCATCGCTGTCGTCATCATCGTCATCGGTTGTTGTCACGGGATCACGTTTAGGAACTTTGGCATCTATTAATCGAGGTTTCTTTTGTGGGCTTGGTGCTTTGTTCTTTTCAACACCACCTTCTGGAAGCGGATATTTCCTTGGACGGCCTCTTCCTCTTTTAACGGGGGTGCTCTGTTGACTATCGGGATTCGGAGAATCGATAATGTTCCTGTTCTCTGATTGATGTTCTAGTAGTTCAGCAGCTTTTACTAAGTTGTCTATAGCTGAGACGGCATTCTTGTGCGAGATCCCATTGTCATTTAGATTTACAGTCTCTTTGAGAGGATTTTTGATGACATCCGTTGAGTGTGTATATTTTTCATCGGCTACTGTGTTAGAGCCAAGAAGGTAATACTTCTTTCGCATCGGATATTTCACTGTTTTATCTATTTTCTCTTCTTCAGTTTTTCTTTTCTTCTTAGGTGATGCTTCAAGCCCCAAGTCTTTAGGTTCAATTAGTTCTAATTCTGGTTCGTCAACAGGGGTTAAAACTTGTTTTCTCTGATGTTTGGATTTTGTTTTAATTTCTTCTTGTACCTTAGAATCTTCAGTTGTATCTACCGTTTCAGATTCTAAAGAATCAAGAGTGCTAACAGTGAAATTATCAGATTCAGTGACTAATTGTTTAGCGGGAGAAAGTTGTTGTCCCTGAAGATTAAGTGGGCTTGGAACAAACTCCATGTTATCCATAAACACTACCTTTACTGGTTTATCCTCTATAATAGTAATAGGACCCTCTAATTGCCGTTTGGCTGACAAAGCCGAATGATATGCTTTTTGTAGCTTAGATTGATTTCTATTTGAAGAATCTTCGTTAGCAGTAGTACCCACTTTAGGTCCATGTACTTTAGCTGGTTGTACATTGGGACGCATGTTTTGGTACTTGTACGGTGCCTTGGCTTTAGGATCAACTCGTGCAATATCATTTCTAGAATAACTCTTTGGATACAGATCTTTCTCTACTACTGTTTGAATAACGTTACGAGGGTCTTTACTATCCAAATTCATAGTGAGACAATTTTCATAAGTTTTAGAATTACGTCTCGCGAACTTGTCAAAATCTTTTTCTGTGATAATAGGTTCCTTTTTACCAGTATCTTGTTTGGGTTTTTCTATAATAGCGTAAGATTTTGCTTTTTCTTTCGGAGGTAATTTAGCAGTAACATTTTTCTTAGTTACAGCAATATCACCTGTAATAGGTTCGTGCTCTATCACTTCGTCTTCAGAGTCCACTTCTATTACATTATCTTTAGTAATTTTTGCCGGATTTTTATTTGAAAAAGGTAGGAGATTCGGTATTTTTGAAGTTTTATTATGAATGGTTGACTTTTCTTTATCAACCTTCGAATATGTTTTTGGTTTAGTCTCGGCTACAGGAACAACTGGTAATTCATGTGCAGGTCTTTCGATAAATGGTATGCCATGCAATTCATTCATTTTCATTTCTATTTCGTCCAGCGTAGCTTGATCAGTTGGTTTGTGATTCGGTGGAAATTTCCCACTTTGTGAAACATTGGAATCTTTCGCAGCGGTCGGACATGGCTCATCTTGAGATTTTGTAGGAGCTACGGTTCTGTGTATCATATCTTCGATTGTTTTATCAATTAAGTCTTGGTAATTTACTTCTGCTCGTTGAGCACCATCTTTCTTGACACTTGCAACTTCAGTGACTTCGTTTTGAAGGTTATTTGGAACATCTTGGTTGACGGGAACTTTTTCAACAACAGTTTCAGATGATTCTTTATCAATTTCGGCTTTAGGAAGAACCTTAGCTTCTTGTACATTGTCCTTCTTCTGCATCAAGTTAGTTTTGCTGACAAATGCTGTCTCGTTTTTAACGTTTTTAGTGGCTTCTTGATTTTTTGCTAGAGCTGCTGCATTGCTTGACTGTTGCCTTTGGCTATCAATTTTTTGGAGAACGTCTCGCCTGTTAAGGTCATTCGTGTTTTTAAGCTGATTACTGCTTGTAGATGGTACGGCGGGTGTTACCGTAGTTCTGGTCTTAATTTTAATTAAGAACTCTTTTCTGTTGGTCGCTGTCCATTTTCCGAAAGGCACTGCTTCTTTGCTACCCCCCGATTCGTCCGTATTAGAATCATCCCTAACATCTCCAGTTTCATTTTTGTTGTCACCACTTTGTGAAGGAAGACTGTCTGTCGATGTGCTGCTGACATCCTGTATGCCTGAACAACTTGGTTGTTCTTCTTTTGGAACTGAACTTTTTGCCTCTTTGACTATATTCTGTTTTTCAGGTATAGGTACTTTTGGGGCTGTTTTCATATCAGCGTCTTTACTGTTAGTTTGAGGACTAACTTCAGAGATATGTTGAGATGTTTCTTCGACGGTCGGTTTTTGCTCTTGAACTTCCCTACTAGGCACTTTGCTACTTTTCTCCACAGGCTTCTTAGAAGTGTCTACTTTTATATTGGCGACACTGTCAATTTTTAAAGGCATTATGCTAGATTGAGATTCAGCCAAGGGCTTAGATAACTTTTTGGGAGATTTATCAAGTACATTGTTTTCTTTTCTAGGCATAACTTCTGTTTTCGGAGTCATAGTAGATGAAATAAGAGCTGTAATTTTACTTGTTAGTGCTTCAGGTACGTAAACCAGTTTATCTTGACTTTTATCCACCATAGTCTCTACTTTTTGAGGTTTATCTAATTTACTGTAAGGCTGGGTTGGTACTTCAGCCACAGGAATATGTTTGACTACTTCCTTGGTTTCCTTTTCTATTGGACCTGTTTCTTTCAAACTTTCAAGCTTTAGTTCAACTTTTTCTTCATTGACAACAATAGGTACGGCAAGATCTTTAGCCGGTGTCTCACTTTTAATTGGTTCGCTTGTGACTGATTCACTTTTTGATATTGGTATTGGTATTTTCGATTGACTACTCTTTGCAATCTCATTTGACACGGGTGTCTCGTTTGTTTTAAGTGGTACCTCATGCGTCTCGAGAATGACCGCAGGAGTTACACTGGTTTCTTTTTTATTTTCGTCTTCGGGACATTCATTTACTTTTAATACAACTTCACTTTCCTTTGGAACATTAGACTCTACATTACTTTGTTTATGGGCTTCAACTTTTAAGTCTGAAGATGTCTTATCTTCGATCTTGGAATCATCTATTTCACTATCGTCAATAATTATAATGTCATCATTATCTTGATCTGTTATATCATAAATAATTTCTTCAACTTTGGTCTTATCTTCATTATCACATTGAGTATTGTCTTCTGTAACTGTTTCATTATTTTTTTTATTAGAAACATCAACTTCTTTCATATCTTCATCTATAGATATTTTAACAGGCTCAGACTGTTTTGTTTTAACTTGAATTGCTGTTGTTACATCATCCACTTTTTTTATCTCAACACTATCCGCTTGAACAGGTTCTTCTATTTTTTCCACCTTATTTGTTGCACTTGCAACAACTTCTTCTACAATTACAACATCTTCCTCGATTTCCTCAATAACATTTATATTTTTCTCACTACTTTTTCCTTCTTTACTATCTTCACATACAATTACGTCTTCAACACTCTCCTTAATTATTGCTTTATCACTAATTATATCTTTATCTGTTGAATCAACCACATTTTCTTGTTCAACTGGAAGTTCTATGATATCATCACATTTTTCATTTAACACTTCATCAGTACTTGGCACCAAATCTTTAGTTTTATCTTTTTCTTCATTCTTTTCAACTTTACTTTCCTTGTCTGCCTCTTTAGGAATATCTACTGTTTCAAGCGATTCATCAATTACCAGTTCTTTTTCACTTATTATTTCTTCAATGTTTTTGTTATCTTCATTGATATCAACATGTTTGCCATCATCATCATCAACATCGACATGTTTGCCATCATCATTAACATCAACATTTTTGCCATCATCATTAACGTCAGCATTTTTACTATCATCACTGACATCAACATTTTTAGTGTCATCACTAACATCTTTATTTTTAGTTGGTGTTTCAACAGTTCTTTGCTTGCTGCTATCAGTATGAACTTCTATTGTTTTCTTTACATTATCTGAATGTCTATTGGGATGCAGCTGTTGATCAACCATCGTTTTAGTCAATGGTATGCGTTCTTTATTGGGTGTTGAGTGGTATGTCATGGCTGTATAACTGCCTATAACAGGAGATTTCCTTGATTCACTGAATTTCATCATTTTACCATTTATATTCACCTCCGTTTTAGCATCAGATGGTGATTCTTTATTACTGTCAACTTCAACCTCTGTTCTTGTCAAAATAGGTTCTTTTCTGGGGACCTTATTTTTTCTTTCAGCAACTTTGTTGCACCCGGACTCACTAATAACTTTATTGATATCGGTTATAGGCACATGTGATGATGTCTTCTTTTCAGGCATCTTCCCTTCTTTTGCAGGCTGAAAGGTAATAGATTTAATCAATATTTCAGTATAATTTAAAAGATATAATATTATATTGTAGTTTTTTTTATTAACTTACAAATTAAATAGGAGCAACCTTTACCTATATTGATTTAAGAAGATACTTAACGAATTTACAATACTTGAAATAATATGTGTTTGTTGAATGACACTTAAATAGATACGATAAAACAATAATTATTCTACATATTCAAAACAATACAAAAACTCCTTACCACTTCTTTAGGTACTTCTATTTCTATTTCTTCATAAACTTCTAAATTACCCTCAGCGTTTTCACTGAAATACATATTACACATATCAATCTTAGATTTAACACAAACACATTAGCAAGACTGTATCCTAAATTACACATATCCCTTTCTTCTTTTCTTTTATTCAGTAATCACGCCTAAACTGTCACTTAACTAAAATTACACATTGAAGAAAATAACCCATACCCTAAGTCATACCACTTAGAAAAAAACACTTTTAAATATCTCATAAATATCAACCCTGTTAAATATCTAGTTATTCTAGGTTGATTTAACTTGTATTGTATGTTCAATTGTTCATGTTTACTCAGGCAACAAACACTTGCAACTTGTAGCTACGTACATGTCCATTGCACTAAGACTATTTAAAAGGATGCATATAAAACTTAGACATCAATAAAATCATGATCAGATATGATGATAATATTTTTAAATCCCAAGTGGTTGTTTACCTGATATTATTTGTTTTTAGGTCAATCAGAGGTGAGTTTCTAGTCAGAAGTAGGTCTGACAATAACAAACTTGTTTTTCTGATTAATTTACTCAGGTATACAACTTTCTTATAAGAAATACATACATAACATCACGCCTTTAATCCCCTAAGGGGTAGGCAGAGTGCACATTACGGCACTTAACCCCTTATCTGCTGGTATATGAGACATAATAGAAAACACATTGTGTCTCGCGTTTATGTACGTTCACGGCATACTAGGGGTTAATGCCACTTTACAACGTAACACCTAATTTTCACTATTTTGTTATGAGTCCCATGTAATATGAACCTTGTGAACCATTGTGAAAAAGATTGTGTGGGGGTGAACCTATTGCCATATACTGGGCACAATTGAAAGGCTACTCAATTTTAGGTTGTACTTAAATATTGTGCCGTCTCTGTCCTTTTACAAAGAATTTGTAGTGACAGAACTATGCTTAAGCGTGACTTAAATGTTTTTATTTATTTATTTCTCCCATTTTTACATAATATATAAAATCACAACAGGTCAAAACATATATTAGGTAAGTAACAACAAAGTTTCAACAAATGTTTATAAATTCAGCACTTAATGGGAGACAGGAGCCTGTACTAAGCAGAGCCTGTGTTATGGGTCTCCTGTTGTGTGATGTTTGAGTATTTGAACAATAGTTGGGCTATTTACGTAGCATCTTAAACTATTAATAAGTTAAGATTTTTAAAATCAATTAATAATTTCTTATGTATCAATAAATTGCTATTCAAAACAAAACCTTAGTGCCAACGAAATTTAAGTATAACAAAAACAAACTTAAGAATCATCACGGAACTTAAAAAAATATAATTAAAAATTAAATCTGATTACTAGACACTTAGACAGTGAAGAAGCTTGCCCTTTGACATTTTCTAGAACAAAATCCAAAATATTGAACCATGTCTAAGTGGAGGCATTTCATGAAGATAAAAATAGACAATCCATTCTAATTAGGTCAGAATATGCTAATGCTCTGATTTCATCTTTCAGTTTAGATTTTAGAATTAGCTATTTATAGATTCCTGTATTAAAATATACCTCCTTAGATGCTTTTGATTGTATAGTGTAAACTTACTGTGTTAGTAGGTACTCTAGTTATAAATTAAAGTGGAGATTTTAAAAGGATTCATATAAGTTTTGAACTAAAATCTTATGTTCTTTATATACCTACTCCATGAAACATTTCCATAGATCATATTCTGTTTACTTTTTATTAGACAAACACAAAAAAGAATGAATTACTATGAGTGACTCACCGCACTTTCAGGAACTTGAAGCTGGTTTGCTGTTGATCATCGTCAATTATCTGGACTGCAGCCAGCTCCTCCTGCCCTTCCTTCCTATACAAGTACAATCCATTACCAATATCTATAGCATCTACGTTTTTACCATCAATTTGTAGCACCACTTCAGTATCTTTACTAGCTATGTCCATCCCTTCATTTATCAATGTAGACTCAATCATATTCTCATCAGACTTAAATTGCATTTCCTCTGACTGCTTCATCTCTGAATTAGACTTATCATCAACATCAACATTGTCATCAATCACCAGCTCATCTCCATCATAAGAATTGTCATTATCATCAAATATATCCACACCGCCTGACAAAATATTTGCTGCTTCAATCTGTTTACCAATTTTGTAGCTATCTAGCATATCACTTTTCTTTCCAATTGGTGATAAATTTGAAATCAGCTCGTCAGCATTTGTTATGGTCCCTTCGGTATCAGTGGCGGTACTGGCCAGTGAAACATCTTTTATAGAAGAAATGTCGAAAGATGAATCAACAGAGTCTACTTCTGACAGAGAAAAGTACTTGGAGGAGCTCTCGTTGGCGGTCATGAAAGACTCGCTCGGCGGGGACGTGGTGTCGAGCGTGGAGTCCCGCGAGCCCCCCGCTTCTCCCCGCAAGTGGCTCAGCCTATCCATTTGCACACTTCATCTGCTGCGACAACAGGAAAACGTTAATTTAGTTACAATGCACAATATAATCACAGCGCGAATACACTTCATCGATCATAAGAAAGCTAATGAAAACATTTGAAGGTTGGTCGATTAATTAGCACCTAGGTCAATAGCAAAGAACAGTGAAACTTTTAGAACAAACGATAATGATACTGTGACACTTTCGATAAAAAATAATAAATCACATCGTACCAAGTTATTCTTTTATGTTATAGTACTCAGATAAGACTTTTGAATAGAATGTATGTATTAAATAAATTGTAGAAGTAATAATAACAATTTTATTACAATTTTGTTAAAATATCACAACACATCAAAAGATTAAAGATGGACGCCAAATAGCAATGTTGCCGTTATTTTGCATGTCATTACGTTGATAAAAAATTGCAAATAATTTCACAAATGTTTAACATTTAATTTATGTTATAAATTGTGAAAAATTTGGGTCATTAGAAGCATAAGCATTTATAAAAATAATTATGATATACATTTTATGTTAGAATCGTCCATATAATTGTAAATTTGGTTGTTTTTTTCTAGTTGGCAACTATAGCGGACAGTAATGGATGCTGCTGATAATGCAAAATACCTATCGTTTAGGTGTCAATGACCTATGCGAATATGAAAGTCTTCTACCTATCATTTTCTATCACGGAATATGCAGTGTTAAAATTTTATTAGCTTATTAATTTGTCAAAAATGTTGAATATAATTAGTTAGGTGGCAAGCCAACTAAAACACGTAATGTAGTAATGAAAATTGAAATTCCCGCTTTATGCTCCTTATCAATCAATGGTTTCTTATTTTCCTTTTAATAAACAACGCTGGACCATTTTATTTCACTTCATATTGCAAAAATGTTGTAATTTTTAAGTTTGTGAGTTTAGTCATTATCATCATTTCTCTTGTATAACAAACTAGCAGATAAAAAATAATACCTTTAAACGTAAAGGCATTGCATGATTAAATTATTAAAGTAGAAGAGTAGGAAAAATAGTAGCTGCTTTTTGCAACACCATTTTTTCTTAATTTAAATAGCCACTTTATATATTTTCGATCCATATATTATAATAATATTTTACGCCTGATTTTTTTTTCAATATTTTTTTACTATCTCTGCAAATGCACCTGCCACAATTTTTGTGTTGATGTCAAAATCTTTCCTGTCAAAGTCAAATCAATGGACGGGAAAGCGTTATTTTCGAAAGTTGTTTGCTGAGCTCCGCTTTAGTGTTTATCTTGTTTGTAAAATAATATATTGAGTAAAAGTTATCAAAAAGCAATTATGGCGCCTCGGGAGACTCCAAAACGTGCGGTAAAAGTACAACCTATTGTAAAAGCTATGCCTGCTAAAGGTCGGGCGTCACCAGTTGGGGCGATAAAAAAGACCACTGTTACGAAAAAGCCTGTGGATAAAACACCACTTAAAAGTAAGTAATAATTGATAAGTTCTAGTAGGTATTTATTATGTCTAGTATGTATAAAATACTACGTTTATTGGCCTTGAGTGATAATAAAATAATAACATAAGCCGTGCTTAGTAGCTATAATAATATGGCGCTAGGCTCTCACTATATCATGCCTCATATAAAAAACCGTGTTGTACGCAACTTGGCATAAAAAACGATTTGACCTAAAATTCGAGTAAGCATAGTATTAATTGCTGGTGTCGATATACAATTCACTACACTAAAACATTTTATTATTGTATGTCACTGCTAAAACCACAATTAAACAAAAATATAACTAAAATTTCAGTAAACAACACAACAACAACAACAGAAGCCAGGGTTACAAGACAACGGACCAGCATGGCACCAACCCTAGCCACACCGAAACCAAAGGAGAACAAAGCAGTTCCTATACCGAGCAGTGTTACCAAGAGTGGTAAGAAACCTTCTTGGAAGAGAAGGCCTAAGCCGGCACATTCCGGAGTTCCTATTCCTGAGAAGATGAGGAAACTCATGGAAAAACAGTTCTTAGACTCGGAATTTGCTTTATAAGTTTGAGGTGTACTATTCAATGACCTGTGTGTATGAGTGGACACAGGCACATCAAGCTATTCTTAACTTCAATGAATTTTTAACTGTACTACATGATGGTAGGGTTGAAAATCTATTGAAGATGGTATTGGAAGTCCTTGATGTGTCCGTGTCAGTAGAAAATCAGGCAAACATGCACCTTGTGTTCATAGCCACAAATCTTACTTCAATTTTTAGTGTTTATATTTAGATTTTATTAGTATTTAGTTTCTTGACATTTGGATTAGGTACTTTTAATATTTTCAATGTGTATATTGTTAGGATTGTATTGTTTGTAATTTGGTGTAGTTAGTATACAATTAATTGCATTTTTTTATCCTTTTTTTGACAATTTTGACTTGATTTGAGACTTGTAAAAATCCTGAAGTTTTTACTGATATTGAACAATCCTGGATGTCATAATTTTATTATGGAAATTTATGTCATATTTTTATTATTACTTAAATAAACGAAGACAAAATAGAATAATGTTAATGATCATAGGTACAATAGATAGAGCTTCCATATATTTCTAACTTTATTGTTAAAACATGCTGCCATAAGTAAACATTTTAAAATAATGTTAAGTTGTAATGCTAAAATTGTAGTGTTGTTTTATGTCCTATTAATAATGTTGTATTATTAATAATAGAGACAAAATAATAACATAAGTTACTCTATAGATAGATTTGAAATCTCTTTTCAAATTAAGCGCTTGATTTAGAGCCAAATTTAGATTTTAATACTTAAATACTGTTAAGGAAAGTGAATTGATGTGATAATTGAAAATACATACTTTTGGACCAATGTCTTACAAAAACATGTTGATTTACTACAAGAAGTTGTAAAACTTATATATATTGCATTTTAAGCTTTATTGATGGAGACGTAAGAGTGTAAACTAAACAGTACAAAATTCATAATAGTTACTAGTTAGCCTACTGCATTAGTGTGTCGACTTTGAGCTTTAATAACATACTAATTAAATTCATTATAAATAAATATGTTTATTCATTTCAGACTAAATTTTGTGCATATATTGTTATTATATAAACACAAGAAGAATCAAAATAGTATTTCCTCTCCATAGTATGTATAATACTTTGAACTCCAATGACTTAGTAATAAAGGTTATTATACAATTCTATTATTACACCAGTTTATCCCACTGATTCTGCTATAGTTATGTACCTGTCTAGTGTCTATGTTATTACAATTACATTAATTATTGTATGCTGAAGTAAACCTGATGGTAATACAAAATATTATCTTTTATACATGTTGTTTTTATCAGAAAAGTTATTTGGTTCCATTACTACTTCTCGTCTTATTCTCTTAAGAGCTGGCTGACAGTGGTTTCTGATACATGAAGTTGAACCTTTTGAACTATGATCTTCATCCCAGCTATGGTGCGTACCAAGTATGAAGATTATTGCAAATCTTATGTAGAGGAGGATAATCTACGATTGGTAACTGCTAGTATTAACGTAGAGTGGTTGTTAGTCTGCCTAGGCGTGAGTGTAGCCACGGTGGGGCAGAGTGGGGCACTCTTGGGGTAACCTAGAGCAGATTAAGAGTGTTTACCCAAATATAAAAAATCCAAATCATCTATTAGATACTAACTACATAAATATAAAATCACGCCTTTAACCCCGAAGGGGTAGGCAGAGGTGCACATAATGGCACTTGATGCCACTACAATGTAACGCCCATTTTTCACTATTTATGCTATGAGAGTATGAGTCCCATGTAATAGGAGATGAGCCTATTGCCATATACCTACCGGGCACAATTCCAGACTCCACGCGACTACTGGGAAATTTTAACTACAAAGAGTGCATACATACAGCCTAGGTCTCATGTTAAACGCCCGGTTTGGAGGCAGTAGGGCACGCCCCGGTATTAAGTTTTGAATTTCGAAAATATTGAATTGTAAATATATTTAAATAAAATAAGGATTACAATGAATCACTCTATTTCCTACCATAATTATTAATACTATACCTACCCTAATTATCAACGACCCTTACGATGATATAGAAAGTTAAAAACAAGGTTTGAAGAAAATATCTTTGTTGTTCATCCATTGACTTTTTTTAGACTTAGCTTCTTAAAATCTGTTTCTATTACCACTTAATGGTTATCAGACTATAAAAATTTTATCATTTCTGTAACTACTATTGTCACGAGTTCGTAAATACGAGTAAAAGTGGCGCGCGTTTTAATTTTGAAACATTCATTTGTACTTAGTTCAACGGATAGATGGCGGAACCCGTACAGAATTGAAGCGAATTGTTGAATGTACCTATCAGTAATCGGGTGGCCAGAAGTGCGACGCATCGTAGTCTCGGGTTCGATTCTCAGAGTTAGTTAATATTGTCTTACGCCGTTACGCGAAGGAGAATGCAGAAAGATAAGTCTTTGAGAATGCAGAAACATAAGTAAAGACAATTAGTAGGTATGGTGTAGGGACCTATTATTACATTTTGATATTTTAATACAGATAGCTCTATTATAGAGATCTAAAGGATTGGCAGCGAATTCATCCATCCTTACACCTTACCAATCATGGCTGTCTTAGACTAGGCTGGGGCCGTTGAGCACATAATAATTAAAGGCCCTTTTGAAATGTTTCTTTTTTTAACGATGCCCTACACTAGGATTTTCCACGATCTCCGGCCACCGTAAGGCGGGCTTGCGGACGGCGAGCATGGGTGGCTCGCCGCCCGACCAGAACCAGACCCGAGCGTAAGGTGCGTCGCGTTCCGCGCGCGCCTCAATGCGCCATCAGACCACCACAGATGGGGCCTAATAGGGCTGATGCCGATACGGAGCCGCGGATTTTCCCCCCTTAAAAAAACACTGTTCAACAGCCTATAAATGCCCACTGCTGAAGCTGCACTACTCACCCGGAGAAGGTTTGAGCATTAATCACCACGCTTGCTCAATGCGGGTTGGCGATTATAATCTTATAATTAGAAATTATAAGCCCAGGTTTCGTTACGATGTTTTCCTTCACCGTTTGTCAATGGTGTCTGGATAATCTTAGTACATAATATAACTCGGAAAAGGTCCACATTGGTACGTTTCGAACCCGGACCCTCATGTATGAGAAGCGGGCGTCTTAAACCTCCGGGCCACCACGACAATTCTCCTGTATCGTGGGTATTACTTACAAACATACAAGTTCACATACACTTGACAACCAGACCCGAAACAACAATTTTTGGATCACACAAAGGTTTGCTCGCAGTCGGTTACCACGCGGGTGTGTCCGTCGTAGAAACTGTCGGTCCTTAGGGGCCCCCAGAGTTCCTGAGCCTGGGTCCGGAGTGCCCTTATGGTAAATCCGGTACAGCTACCAATCACTTCATCAACTGGGTATTTCAGTCCCATGTAGATTAAAAAAAATAATATAGGTTAAACCTATTTAATATTGGATTACTCAAAGCACTTTGTGCTATTACTGATCATAACAAAAACCCGAGGCTAAGTACATATACTCTGCCTACTGCAGAGTAGTCGCAGAATCAATGAGAAATTTAAAAAGTTTATTGCACAGACGTTGCAGCATTTCATCAGTTCCAGACGCTCAACCCGTTGATTCATTGCCTATAATTTTCGGGGAACCTTATTTCTCATGGAAACGTATGCATGGCAAAATTAAACAGTTTCCTACAACACACGTCGATTATTCAGGTGTTTTAGACACAGGATGCAGATGAAGGTAGGTACTTAGACTACGGTTACAGTGACTGCCTACCACCAGAACCAGGGCCGTAAAATTTGAAGCTTATTTACAGTAAGTATGCCCGAAAACCTCTTCTTTGGCGGTGTGGAAAATTAACACCACTATCATCGGATTGCTCAGGTAAATACCCCGTTCCAGCTAGAACGGTCAGCTGGAACCTAAATAGTGACCTACCGGCGACTATGGCAGGGCAATACCTACACAAAACTCGTAGTCTCGACAGACTGAACACTCGCTCATGCGGCTACTAGATCATTCTAAAAAGGCAACCGTCAAAATAACTTAAAACTAGTCAAACTACTTAACATACCTGTGTCCATATATTTAAAAACAGCACATTAGAATGTACAACTAATGTTATACCACAGAGTAAATAATTGATGTAGTGTGACGTCATCTGTCACAAGATGTCACCAATAAATTGCGCGCGAGTGATTGATGAACTTCCCATAAAACAACTACTACTTGTGTATGTTTAAATGTTAAACAATAGGATCATCTAAAGCTAATAAAATTTAAGGGGATGTCTTATTTAGTTAAGGGAAGAATAATTATTATTGTCTGTTATTGTTGTTTGTCTCAGGACTAAAGTCTTAAAGCGATGAGGGCGACATCTGCGTCGAAGCTGCTAGAATGGTTCTATGATTAATTACCATGAAAACGGGTTTCATTTTCCTACTCATAGTTACTTACTTTTTACTTCTGTTCTTCTAGGACTCTTCACGCTACTTCAATGTAGGACGATTTAATTAATTGAATATCATCGACATGATCAACTTTTGGACTTGCCTCACCAATAAATCGATTGAGCTTAATCTTTGGTGAACAACTTAAATAATAATTATAATGCACATCTCTGCCTATCCTAGCGAGAATAAAGGTGAGATGGACAAAGGAAAAAAAAAACAA